ATTGTAGTATAAGGATAAAAATGAAAATGTGTATTTTAGATAAAGGTGGTCTTCTGAACAGTCAGAATAGGGAGAGGAAGAGAGGAGAGGATGAGAACTAAGACGCAGGGAAAGCATTTCCTCCCCTTGCCTCTTATACCCACCGCCAGGATTAATCTTGCCCAGAATGTCACTGCTCAGCAGCAGTCACAGCACAAAAGTACCTTAGCCTGGGTCTGGGAATGAGGGCTTAGCAGAAGGGGCTTCGTGGTAGAATGAGGGAGAAGCTGGAAGTGTGAGGGAGCAGAGGGATTAGGGTTTTGTGGGGCCTTTAGGACCGAGTAAATGGTACCCCACCCCTGCCACCTGCAACTGACTTGCCCCTTCACGCTGCTGCCAGGGAAATGGAGCCAGGCTTGCCCCACTCCTCCCACCTGGTGCTCCATCTGGAGAGAGGGGAAAGCCTGGCAAGCCCCTGAGCCCTGACCCATCCCTGGCAAAAGAGCCAGGCAGGCTGAGTGGGTCGTGATGAGGAGGGGGCCATTTTTCAAGGGCCTCCCAGTTCATTGGGGTCCCTGGGTACTTGTCCTGTTGGCCTACTGGCTAATCTGCAATGGGAGGGTGGTGAGGAAGAGGTAGAATAAGTGACTGTAGGAAAGCGGAAGAGGGCCGTGCTAGTGATGAGGAGGCTAAAGAGGTTTCCTGATTCCCAGAGACAGGAGCATGCTGGGATCGTGGTGGATGGAGAGAGGATCATAGGAGCTCCCCGGAGGGCTCCTGGCTGTGATCAAGGCTCTGTCCCTCTGCTTGAGGAACAAGCAAGGGGCATCTACAGACACAGCCCCTGCTCACCCAGTCAGTGTGGGGTCACTGCAGAGCTCCTGGCTTTCTTCACATGCAAGATGAAGGAAGAAACATCGAGAGTTAGGCCATTAGCACAGAGAGTTGGAACAAACTGTCCCTGGTATAGTGGCTATGGAGGTGCACATCCCACTGTATCTGGACAAAGGGGGGCAGTTTCTACCACAGATCTCTGCAGGGTGCAGGGCACATGCGGGTAGTGGAGGGGCAGGAAGAGTAGATGGAATATAATTATATAGATTCATTATGGTGTGTTGGGACAAAGGCACAAACCCTACCTCACTTTGTAATGTACCATGAGATGTAGGGTACTGAGGAGGTCTGCCCTGAACTATCAGGTCCCCTCTCACATACAAGGAAAAAGAGGCACATTGCCCCATGAGACTTGATATTTGGACATTGTTAAAATAGGATCTTTAATTACCTTCTTCTATAGGTGCCACAGATCTTCTCCATCCTAAGAACAACCACATCATTAGAGATGAGAGCAGAGCTGAACAAGTGTCACATGATTCAATACTGTACAAATTGTTAACTAATAGAAAAGGAAAGTTTTATGTTCTTTCAGAGGTATACTGAAATATAAAGCACCAGAACCTGCAGTGTGTGTCTCTCTCCCAAGATGGATCTTCACAGCAGAGTTAGCCCAGGGTCTTGCCTGGATGTTTCCCCCAATCTATTTATTGTGCAAGCACAAAAACTCTGACTCAGGTTTGGTGCTTACCATCCAGGTCAGCTGGCAAGACTGTAGGTATAGGCTATAGCCCTGGTACCATTTATATTCTGGTTGGTGTAGAAGCTATTTTATGTTTAGCTAGAAGCCATCTTGTATATCAAAAAACATTTCAGCTTTTCTCTCAAGCACTTAGACCAGAGTGAACTTTCTGTCACCCCGTGAGAAGAGGCCTACAAGATGGGCTATTGGTATGTGTTAATTGGGCTGGTTGGGACAGGAGATGTACTCCCTCGTACCTGTCCGCCATCTTGTTGATAAGGCTTTGTTTTTCCAAATTTAATTGAGGATTTCTGTAATTGGATGCCCTGACGTCAGACTGTTTGGCTAAGGGTATAAAGATACTAGGATTGATTGTATTAGCAGCTTTACTGGGCCCGACTTTGCTGGGACCACGTTTGGCTCACTTTGCTTTAGTGATCAATAAAGCAAATCAGTTGTTAGCCGCCTAAACAGAGAGGAGCGTGTTTTTGCTTCGACATTGGTTACTTGCCCACTTTGCATTGTGGAGGGAGGTTAATCATCACAAGCATTGCTGATCCGCCACAGCTTTCCCACAATTCCGTGGGACACTTTCTTTGGCCACAACCTACTTTGCTACTATATTGCTTATCACATTTTCAAATTAGATTTTGATGTGACATTCATCCAGTTTAGTTTTCCCTCACATTTTGTAAAATTATGTTAAAAAAGAATGCACGCCTCCAAAAGAATGAGAGCACAAAAACCAAACAAACAAAAAAGGGGTTCCTTTTAAAAATTAAACTGAAAAGCAAATGCCACTTCCACAATTTAACTAATTGCCACGTGAGATTTCAAACTGGTACAAAATGTTTCTTTTCAGAGGAAGGCTAATGATACTTACTTATTTCGTTATCTCGTTTGCCTAGAAAGACACATAGTGTTTATTAGGAGCTTCCCTTTTCTTTTTTTTTAAATTTTCTGTATCATCACTATAACACTTAAAACAGATAAATTATTTCTATTCAATTGCCCCCATTGAGGTCAGACTAGCCCCCATTTCTTCCAGCCATGGAATCTGCCTGTGCATAGCTGGCTCAGCATAGGAGTTTGGGCTATTAGTAGAGCTGGGGGGTGGGGGTGGGGGGAAACTGGAGGTAAGAGAAGACCTAGGAATAGAGGTGGAGCTGGCTTGGGTGCAGAGAGGGAGTGAGCACAGGGCTCGGCCAGGGGTGAAGAAGGGTTGAGTTGAGCAGTGGCTGGGGGCAAAGCAGGGACTGGAGAGGAGCTGTTCTGGGGACCAGAATTAATCTTGGGGCAGCACATGAGGCAGAGTGGAGCTGGGGCTGAGGCTGGGGCTGTGGCAGGAGGTGAGCTGGGACTGGCGCAGAGGATGGAATGGAGCTGCAGCTGGGCAGGGGTCAGAGCAGGATGGGTGAGGCTCTCTCCTCACCCTTGTATGGCCCATGGGCAGCATGCTCCACAATTTGGGGACCACGAAATCCAACCTTCTGGTTTTAAACACTTGCAGCTCTATGACTCTATTGTTATCAATTTCTCAAATTAGCTTTTGGTGCAAAATTCATCCAGTTTAGTCTCTCCCCAGATTTTATAAAGTTTCATTTAAAAAAAATCCCTACACACACCCCAAAATACTTATAGTAATAGAAAAATAAAAAGCAAACAAACATAAGAGATTTCATATTGCAACAATTTTAAAGGGACTGGGCTGCACTGGAAATGTATCGCCTTTAGACGTCCATTGCCTGACTCAACTCCCTAACTCGAAGGATTTTTAAGGGAAAGGATCTCTGTAAACATCCAAATGGGCTCTAAAATCCAGCCTATTACACACATACCAAACATGCTCCCTGCCCCACCGGACAAACACACAGAAATCAAAATAAATAAGAGGAACAAAAAAAGCCTGCATGCAATTGTGTATCTATGATCAAAATTTATATATGTGGGAAATGAGTAATTGTAACTTACGAACTTCTTCAGTAAGGTGCCCTTAAAAATAAAGAGAAAATATAAATTATTACAAACTCCTTTCTTCATGAAACAGTGTTGAAAGACTGTATCCTATAGATTCAGAATTCATTATGATGGCTACATGGGCATGTCCAATATATTTGGAAATAGGGCAAATATTCTTTATGGATAAAATTCAGCAGAGCATGGAATCTGTGTGAATTCTGCACAGATTTGTTTTTATTTCCCAACTGAGGAGCAATGTGTTTATTTCCTGCTTTATTGCAGGGGCATTTCTATGGGGATGATCACTAGGGTATCTAGGTGCACTTCACTTTATTAGCAAAAATCAATTTAAAGTATGGATCTGAGAGGCTAGACTTTGCAAACCTTGTCTCAAGTGGAACCAGAGGCAGACAGCAGTAACCCCCTGAGAACTAGCGGGAAGGACAGAGGAGAACACAGATGGATCTGCTATGAGCCAGCTCTCTGGTTCAGTTCTACTGCCTGTAGTAAGATAAGGGCCCAAGGCATAAGCCCATGTATCACAGGCCTGGTGTGAGGCCTAAACAGCAATGGGCAAGACTTTGCTAATATAAAGCGAAAAGAAGCTGTGAGCCTGAGGCAGGCCCTGCTCATAGATAGCAGGAACATACCAACCCAGGTTCAGGATAGGGTCTAAACTGACAGCATGACAGAAAGTGGTTGAAAACCTATGTACAAGGAAATGGGTAGTATCTAGGTATCATCAGAAGGTGGCAACCTGATACATCAGGTGTGATGTGTAACTTTTTTGTGCCTGTGTATACAAGTGAACCCCAAAGAGCTGTCTTTGTTTGACCTATGGGTAATAAGCAGGAAGAACTGGAAGTGCTAATAAATAACCACAACTATGACATTGTTGGTATCTCAGGGTATGTCTACACTACCACCCTAGTTCGAATTAGGGTGGTTAATGTAGGCAACCGAAGTTGCAAATGAAGCCCGGGATTTGAAATCCCGGCTAGTTCGGACTCTGTGCCCGCGGCTACACGTGGCACGGACTAGGTAGTTCGGATTAGGCTTCCTATTCCAAACTACTGGTACACCCTACTTTCAAGCAAATCTTCCAGAAAAGGGTTTATTTTCCGCAAGATCCCATCTAGACTGGTGCTTTTCTCCGACAAAGCCCCGAGCCGGAAAAAAGCAGCAGCCATGTTCATGCAAATGTCGCAGGGGATATTTAAAGCCCCCGTGGCATTTGCAATTCCGAAGTGTCTCCTTAGCATCCCTTTTCCGGAAAAGGGTGCCAATGTAGACACAGCCGAGGTGTATGAGGCTTTTTTTAAACAACTGACAAAATCATCCAGAAGTGCAGGTGTTGATGAGGGACTTCAACTATCCAGACATCTGTTGGGAAACTAACACAGCAGGGCACAGACTATTCAATTAATTCTTGGAGAGCATTGAAGACAACTTTTTATTTCAGAAGGTTGAAAAAGCTACTAACGATTCACAATCCTGCAGGAAGGGCATAACAAGTGGGGTTCTGTAGGGGGTCTGTTTTGGGACCAGTTCTGTTCAATATCTTCATCAACGATTTAGATATTGGCATAGAGAATATGCTTATTAAATTTGTAGATGATACTAAGCTTGGAGGGGTTTCATCTGCTTTGAAGGATAATTCAAAATGATCTGGACAAACTGGAGAAATGGTCTGAGGTAAAGAGGATGAAGTTTAATAAGGACAAATGCAAATTACTCCACTTAGGAAGGAACAGTATGTTTCACACATACAAAATGGGGAGCAACAGTCTAGGGGGTAGTACTGCAGTAAGGGATCTAGGGGTCATAGTGAACCACAAGCTAAATATGATCCAACAGTATGTTGCTGTTGCAAAAAAAGCAAACATGATTCTGGGATGCATTAACAGGAGTGTTATGAGCAAGACACGGGAAGTCATTCTTTCTCTCTACTCTGCGCTGATCAGGCCTCAATTGGAGTATTGTGTCCAGTTCTGAGCACCGCATTTCAAGAAAGATGTGGAGAAATTGGAGAAGGTCCAGAGAAGAACTGCAAGAATGATTAAAGGTCTGGAGAACATGACCTGTGAGGGAAGACTGAAAGAACTGGGCTTGTTTAGTTTGGAAAGGAGAAGACTGAGAGGGGACATGGTAGTGATTTTCAGGTATCTAAAAGGATGTCACAAGGAAAAATTGGTCTTTGAGGATAGGACAAGAAGCAATGGGCTTAAACTGCAGCAAGGGAGGTTTAAATTGGACATTAGGAAAAACTTCCTGTCAGGGTAATTAAACACTGGAATAAACTGCCTAGGGAGGTTGTGGAATCGCCATCTCTGGAGATATTTAAGAGCAGGCTAGACAAACATCTGTCAGGGATGGTGTGGACAGTACTGGGTCCTGCCGTGACTCAGTGACCTTTCAAAGTCCCTTCCAGTTCTAATGTTCTATGATTTTATGGGAAAGTGACAGATCCAAGTCACTGAGTCATGTCTATTGTCAGGGGCCCAAATTCTTAGCCTACTTGTAGACAATTCATATAGGGAAGCTACTGCTGTGCTTCATTTACAATAAACCTGGCCTGTTACCACAAAATCCGAGAAGGATCAAAGGTCTTTGGGGGCTCTCTCAGAGTCTTGCTGTGGAGGCTTTTTGCGCAAGACAGAATAACACACAGAGGTGCGTAAGCATGTAGCTGAATGGGCATCATCATTAACGGATCAGGAAACTTATCAGGACAACTCCTGTGATGTCTCACTATCACACAATCCAAAACTTTTCTCTCCTATTCTTACTCTCCCCCACTACCATCACTCCAATCCTCTATCAATAAATGCACACTTCTTCTTCTTTATGCAGGACAAGATCAGCAGATTATACATTTTTAATATAAAATTCCTAAATTACCCTTATTTTTTTATTAGAAGAAAAACTTTATGTAGAGAATATTTCTTCCTCTGATATTTACCTTTCATTTTAAACAAATAAACAGTGAGGACAATGAAACCAAACAAAACCACCAGGATCACAGTCAGAACCACCATCCAGGGATTCACCTTTGGGAAAAAGGAATCTGAAAAACAAAATTCCAGAATTTGTCTTAATTTGGAAGTGTTGAAGGTAGCACCAATTTAAATAAATTAATTAACAGAACCTTAAATCAAAAATCAAATTAATAATGCCCTGCCTCCAGTTAGGAATCTGTGTTAAGGAACTCATAGACTCATAGACTTTAAGGTCAGAAGGGACCATTATGATCATCTAGTCTGACCCCCTGCACAGCGCAGGCCACAGAATCTCGCCCACCCCTCTTAGTGAAACTAAGTGAAACTAAATATATATTAGGCTCTTTAAAACTTATACAAGAATGTTGAGACAAGCAAGTGGCATCAATTAACTAAATAATAAACCATTGCAACTTTTAGGTGTAGACAAGGAAAAAATGAGTCCCTTTGTGGATCCAGACCCAAATGACTTAAGGAGTACAAGTTCCATTGAAAGTCAGTAGAAAGAACAAAAAAATGACATAGGCTACATTTTACATGAGTTCTGAACAATAAGTTGGTGCAACAACAACATCACAAAGAAACCACAATACAAAACTTAAAACATTAAAAAAAAAACATACATTTAGGTGATGCTATGGTTGCAGGAACATACTGTGTCTGTCTTGAGTGAAAGTTTCTTCTAACAAATTTGGAAGTTTGAGTGTGCATGCATGTGTGAGCATACATGAGTGTATGTGTGTTCATGGACGTGAGTGTGCAGGCTAAAATGCCAGGAAATGCATATGAAATCCAAATCTTTAATAGTCTGAATACTCACAAGTAAGGGAATCACATTCCCGAACTGTGATAGAGTAAAGATACAAGGCGCCAATCTTCTGTGTTTGTATGTGGATTTTGAAATGTTCACCACAGATATTTCAGTTCTTTTCCTATAATCTGTTTTATTTTTAGTGGAAATGAAATCAGTGTGGGATTATGGGTGGTAACTGACCTGATATATAAACTGCTGACTCCTTTTCTTGCTTGAGAAGGGTGTTTCTGATGCAACAGGACAAGTTTTTGTTTGAATGTTCTTTTACAATGAGCGCAGTTTCTGTTTCAAAGAGGCCGTTATCCCCGAGGGAAGTTGTTTTAGAAAGTGATGATAAATGTCGTCCACTGAGATCTCTCCACTGCACCTCAGGCTCTGGATACCAACCGGCTGATTGACAAACTACCCGGATCCCTCCATCCTGGTGACCCTCAATAGAGATGAGAGGAGCAGCACCCAGATCTAAGGGGAAAATATATAAAAGTGTCAATTCTCTTAATTATCTCTCTCTATATTTTAGAGATTTGTGTATCTGTCTGTATGTCTGTCTGCGAGTCCATTTGTTCAAGAACTACTCCTAAATGGCAAGAGCTAGGATCATCAAATTTGCTAGGCAGTTTCCTCTTCTCCTAACTTAAAGCAAGGTCAGGGTTTGGTTGTGCCAGGACAACCACAAGCATTAGGAAAGGGTCTGTTTTCCATAACGTGGAAAGGGAGGGTCACAGAGAAGAGGGATGTGATACTAAGGCTATGACTAGACTACAGGGATTTTTTTAAAAAAAAGTAGCCTTTTTCGAAAAAACTTCACCTGCGTCTAAACTGCTGCTGCGTTCTTTCAAAATTAAATTGAAAGAACGTGGCGGTTTTTTTCTATAGCAGTAAACCTCATTTTACGAGGAAGAAACGCTTTTTATGAAAGAGCTCTTTCAAAAAAAATAGGCGTTCTTGACCGCAAACAGGGCTTTTTCGAAAGAGAGCATCCAGATTGCCTGGGTACTCTCTTTCAAAAAAGCAGATAATTTTTCGAAAAAGTTGTGGCTGTCTAGACAATCTCTTTCAAAAGAAGCGTGTAGTCTAGACATACCCGAAAGCTGCATCTAGACTGGCAAGATTTTGCGCAAAAGCAGGTGCTTTTGCGCAAAATCTTGCTGCCTGTCTACACTGGCTGG